TTAGGCTTCTGCGCATCCCCAGCAAAGTAAGGCCGTCAGAAAAATTGATTGATATAAATAGACTGGGTTGGTTAATCCGGAAATGCATGACATGATCATTGGGATTGATTATACCATTCAGATAAGTTCTTTTCTTTTTCTTTCCCCAACATTTGTTCAGAAAGACTTTTTCTTTTATCTTTTTGAAGTCATCACTTTTCATTTCTTGGTTTAAAGTGTTTTTCTCCAGTAGTTTGTTTTTAGAAGGATTTTTTTCAGACAGAATGTTATACTTTAAGGAGTGTTGAAGTTGGGAGCCCGTCCATATAACAGAGGAATACATTTCAGTCTTTATATTTCAAGCGTTGAATTTGGGAGCCCGCCCATAGAACAGAGGAATACATTCAGTCTTTTCATTTCAAGTGTTGAAGTTCGGAGCCCGCCCATATAACAGAGGAATACATTTCAATCTTTACATTTCAAGCGTTGAAGTTGGGAGCCCGCCCATATAACAGAGGAATACATTTCAATCTTTACATTTCAAGCGTTGAAGTTGGGAGCCCGCCCATATAACAAAGGAATACATTTTAGTCTTTACATTTCAAGCGTTGAAGTTGGGAGCCAGCCCATAGAACAGAGGAATACATTCAGTCTTTTCATTTCAAGTGTTGAAGTTGGGAGCCCGCCCATATAACAGAGGAATACATTTCAGTTTTTACATTTCAAGCGTTGAAGTTGGGAGCCCGCCCATAGAACAGAGGAATACATTTCAGTATTACATTTCAAGCGTTGAAGTTGAGAGCCCGCCCATAAGAACAGAGGAATACATTTCAGTATTACTTTTCAAGTATTGAAGTTGGGAGCCCGCCCATAATAACAGAGGAATACATTTCAGTATTACTTTTCAAGTATTCAAGTTGGGAGCCCGCCCATAAGAACAGAGGAATACATTCAGTCTTTTCATTTCGAGTGTTGAAGTTGGGAGCCCGCCCATATAACAGAGGAATACGTTTCAGTCTTTACATTTCAAGCATTGAAGTTGGGAGTCTGCCCATAAAACAGAGGAATTCATTTCAGTATTACATTTCAAGCGTTGAAGTTGGGAGCCCGCCCATAAGAACAGAGGAATACATTTCGATCTTTTCATTTCAAGTGTTGAAGTTGGGAGCCCGCCCATATAACAGAGGAATACATTTCAGTCTTTTCATTTCAAGTGTTGAAGTTGGGAGCCCGCCCATATAACAGAGGAGTACATTTCAGTATTACTTTTCAAGTATTGAAGTTGGGAGCCCGCCCATACAACAGAGGAACACATTTTCAGATCAAACAGAAATCAGTAATCAGAAGGAATACAACAAAGATCTCCAGCATAACAAGCTTTAATATAAGAAGCAGTTGTCCCCAGCAGACATAACGGAATAATAAAGCTTATGCACAAAAAAGGCAAAAGGCCAGTGTCGTCCCCAACAATTTTCGAAAGAAATGCACCAGGGAAAACACAAGACGACAAGAGTGAGGCAACCAGAGCAAAGGGAAGACAGATAAGATCTTGTAATCCGTAGTCTAACCAAACTTCTTGATTTTTCTTTTAAGCATGGTGTAATAAGGAGGTCAGCAAACAGTAAAAGTAGCATGCAACAACAGTAACATTGCAGTCCCACGGTAGTCCCAGCTACCAAAACTTCCCAAACTACATTAACCTGATTCCCCTTTAGCCAGGGATATGTAGGAAACCTTTGATGCAAAGGTTCGGTTAAATCTTTTTCAAAAAATGCTTCACACGGAGTACTCGGATGGGCAAAAATCGCTCGCTTTATCTTTGCACGAAAACCCTTTGTGTCTTCGGGCAAAGAGGGGCAGCTGTAAGCACGTGATTTTTCCCCTATGAAACAATTACTCCCAAAAATTCAAAATAAAATGATTTTCCTTGGTGTGCAATTTTGAGAATTTTGTGACATTTTTGGATAATTATTTGTATATGTCTCTGCATGTTTATTTGTTAAATTAATAAAAAATACAAAAATATGTCGCATTTTGCATGTAGGATTTAATTATACAATTGTTAGTAATTAAGTTTGTTTTA